CCTTTCGAGTAAACAGCGATAAATTTAAATTGTTTATCACGGTTGATTTATCCCCGTTTGTTCCTGCGGTATCTCATCCTCTCGTGAGCGTAGATTCACTACGTTTTGTGTCGGGCGAAATTGAAAAGCGTTTCAATAAATTGTAACTCATTTGATATCGTGCCGATTTATTCACGATGCGATTAATGATTCATGCTGTGTACTTCAATTTAGAAACACTTTGTTTTTTCTTTTTTTTTAAAAGGAAATAATGGAAATTATTGATATCTTTCTTTTCATCGAGGGAAAGAAGAAACAATTTTCAAGATTAGCAAAAAATAATTTTAAAATGTTTCCAAATTTTATATTATTAAATTCATTTCATCATTAGAAGAGATATTCTATTTGAAAATTATTTGAAGTGTTGGAATTCCTCGTAAAGGAATAAAATGGCACGTTATTTATTGCACGATTCGAAGCTACATTCCATTCTACGTGAAATTGAAATATTTTCCCTTCAACTATTTTATTAAATTCTGAATTTTATTCATTCCATTTAAGCCCTTCGGTTATTTTATTTTACAGTGTGGCTCTTCTTTTGCATTTTAAATAGAAACTATTCAAATTTAAAACTTTGCAATGATTCGTTCTCAGAGGGTTAAGGTACCTCCAAAAAGCAGCATGAAATAGCTGCAGCAAAATTCTTAGATTCTGAAATAACGAAGTGAATAAGATTGGAATGGGAAAAAACGTTGATGGAACAAAGGTTAGGGTTCGATGGAAAAAAGGACAGGGGTGAACCATCAGTTTGGTTACGCAACCATGAACCCTTTCCGATTTCTCCATCAGTTACCTTCTTCGATTTTGTGTCTATCTTACGGGAAATAAATAAGTGCAAGGTCAATATTTATTTCTATCGGCGGTGTTTTAAAATAAGGCTAATAGTAATACTTTGTTTGATATTATATTCATTCGTTCGATCGACGGATCACTAATTATTTACGAGGAGAACTTCCAACACGATAACACGATGTATATCAAGAATGAATTGCCACGATGAGAAGGTGAAATTCTCTGTTGTAATCAGTCATCGAATATCAAGCTAAAATTCATTAATTTTTGTTGAGTTAGGTGAACAAATTTCATAGTTGATTTTAGGGGATGATAGTAAGTAGAAAATACCCTACAAACACAGATCCATAATTCAGTGATTAAGCTGTAATTAACCATGGTGTATTAATAATAATTTATAGATCCTTTATCGCATGGATTTTATTTTTTAATATAATTTGGAATTGGAGGGCTAATATATAAATAGTTTCACTTCCTTTCGTCTGTTCTTCGGAAATAATTATAGATAATCTCGTTTGAACAGCAGGCTCTGGTATCTAAGCTTTATTTTAAATAGACGGTAGTTGGATCTCGTGTTCTGGGTCACGTTTGACCCCCAACCGGCTGGCATCACGTTCTTCTGACATTTGGAGCTTCCGAAGCACGCGAACACATTGTCGGTAGGCTAATGGTTGACTACACTCTGGACAGGTTGCCGTTGAATTATGCCCGGTGGCTGCGATTTCGAGTTCATCCACTTGAAGTACAAACAAGCATCTTATTAACCCTTAACCCTTTCGACGGCTCGTGGAAATACCGGAAGTAATGTATAATTTTCGGCGAGTTTCCCTGCGAGTCGAGTGTTGTGCGCGAAATAATTCAACGCTGCCTTACTCGGTGCAATTTGTCTTCTATTGTGCGCAACCCACTCGACCTCGCCCCCCCCATAGACGACTTTGCGTTTAATAATCTCCTAAACGTGGCTCGTAAGCACACCTACCGAACTACCCCAACGTCTGTTCTCTCAATTAGCGGTGAATTATTAACTGGAAGAGTACTGTTTCATCTTCTTTTGCCACGGTAATGAATGATACTTTCGTTTTAGTTAAAGAGTTGAGATCTTTTTAGAATCACATTTCATTAGGGTGTTAATTTCTTCTTATACTAGTAAACTTTATAGAGAAGACACGATTGGTAATTAAAATAATTTTGATTATTATCAATAAGGTAATTGCTGCTTCTTGAAATTTGTGTAATTAATTGATTGTAAATTTTGTAGTAATAATAACTAACTTGATACAATTATTATAATATACCAACAAGATGTATTATATCATAATTACTAATTATTAATTTTTCATTCAGAACATAGAATTGGTGCTAATTGTAGGTTTCTCTATGCAGGGTAATATAATGACATTGGTAACACCAGAAATTATAGAGGGAAACAAAATGATTGTCGAACAACGTTACCTGAATACCTATTATTTGAACAATACACGGCTCCTAACACATTGCACCCTGTGACCTAGCAAATTGCGGTTTTGCTATACCGCCTACGTCACGTTGTTCGATAATACTAAGGTAGAAATTATAAGCTTGAAATATCGGGACAATTTTGCTGAATAATTCACAGTAATTCTGTGTAAGAATTATCGCTTCATTATTTTGCGTTCGATGAGTTAGTCTATCCTTGTATAATAGAAAAGTATCGTACGGTATCGAGCAAAGTAGACTTTAATTAGGAAAATTGCGTTCGAGGAAAGGTTAAGAAGAAATCTATTTAACTAATTCAAAATGAAGCATCACGTATGATATGTATTCTCTCTTTATGCGCTCGGTGGAATGATTATCTTTCTCCTGCAAATAATAGCAACGAAACGTTTAGCAGTATATGCGGAAGGTGCGCGCACACGGGAACACGTGATGTGTGCACACGCGGTCCCGAGCAGAATTAATGTGAAAATGACACGCGAACGAACAAATTACCATCAAAATTATAAGCTTTGTTGTCCAAGGCCACGGTTTGCACTAACTTCCATCGGGGCGCTTTATTATCAGAACACAACACTTGATCCCTATCACACTTACCCAGTAACAAAGTTTACATTCTACCCCGATTACGTTACGCGTTGCATATTACATATTTGCACCATCAGCAACCAGAAACATCGAGTACCGTATCCGTATAATGAATCCCTGCTGAATAAATTTCTCCTCGTCGTTTCGGTTAAAATATCACTGAACAGGTGTATATTCGATTAGAATTAGAAGTTCTGGAAAAATAAATTTGATTGTAAAATGCAATTTAAAAGAATCAATGCAGAATATTCTTTTTTTAGACTCCGTTAGGTCTAATTATGTACATATGTAATTAGTTTAAATAGCAACTCGGATTATCGCGATTACAATCCTGCCTGAAACTTGACGAAACATAATTTTTGATTTTCGAAATTTTACACCATTCCTTTTTAATTCTTTATGTTACCATTGACCTAAACACCATCGAGGATGAAATTTATGGAAATAAATGATAAAATGATAGAGATATCGGCGGATGATTGGATTAATGTAGATCACGGTTAGTTACGACCGTTAATCTACTTAATCATTGCCAGTTAATTATTCGTTGTCACTTAGCTATGTTGTACGTATGTAATACAATATCGAAGAGTGCGCCACGTTAACCACGGTTGCCGGTCGCGGTATTTGCGGCCGTGTTTCTCGGCCGCGTTTCAACGCAAGATAATCTGACAGTACGGACTGTTGCGGAAACTTGGTCGTAAATAATCAAGTTAATTGCACGGGTTCTCGAGTCTGGTACAAAGAGGGAGGACGATCGGGAATCGGGACTCTTGAAAAATTGACCGGTTGCTAATCGAGTAGTAATTTTCTTCTTATTATCATTTATTAGCGCCTTTTCATACAAACTTTTTAAGGTAATCGCTACTATATTCACGCTAAGTGATTTTCTATTTAATTATCGGATTAATGTTAATGTTTCTTGGTAGAATCTGCAAGAAATTTTCAAAGCATTTCATTTTTCTTTCGTGGATTCCCTCTGAACAAGTTCTGTTCGACGAATATGCCATTGGGGAAAGCTTGGAACGTGAGATTTAAAGATCACAGCCACGTTCGAGCTTTGTTTTCTTTCTTTCCTCCGATTCTTTGGTAGAGCAGGAAAAGAAACATACCACGTTTCAGATAGTTAACATATTCTTTGAGTCGTGTTATTAATTTAAAGTTTCGAAGCAGTAGGAAGGAAATAAATGAAATATTTCCGAATTTTCACGCGAATCAATCGAATCTTAATGATTGTAATCAGAAAAAAAAAAGAATGGAATTGTCGTGGAATACGCAATGGTTGTAGGGTATCGCGCGTTGATTACTTAGGATAGAGGAACGGACCAAGAAGCATCTCGAAGCAACGAACAAGTTTTCGTGAGACGTCGTTTCGAGGTGTCTTAATTGGAATCGGATGGAAGCGCAAGGAACTTCTTGCTTCCTGCCTCTCTTTCTCTCTCTCTCTGTGTCGTGAAATTGCAGTCCGAAGACGAATATCTCGGTCCGCCTGGGAGACGGACCTCTTTCGTGTTAAATCGATTTCGTTTGGGTGTTCTTGGCGGTGGACTTACAACCAGATAATCAGGAAAGAAGCAAGAATGTACGGAGTGTTGGGGAAAAAGGATTCTAAACTCCCTAAAAGTTGCTAACTGTTGCTGTTACCGTAGATACGTTCGATTTTCCAAATTTCTCAAATGTTAGAATGAATTTACTTTTTTGTAACAATGAACAATTTTATAGAAGAATATTTTACTTTTATAATATCATACGAATTTAGGATATCATTTTATGGGTAGAAATTGAAAAAGAAATGAAATTGAATGAATAACATAGAACAGTAAACAGTAAAATTCATTCATTGTACGATGAACTCAGGAATGTAGGTCTTATTATTAGATTCTAGAAATAAACATAACTTGCTCGCTTCGGTATGTTTACTTTCGGTAATCTTGTTTTTGTGTTTCCAATCGGTGCCCGGAGTCCTTTGTATACTTCTAGACGCGTTTCAGAACAGTCGTAGAACGTCCGTCGACAAGATTAATCGTTCGCGATTCAACAGTGCTTACGCGTGATTTTGCAGTTAAAAATGTGCTCGTTTAATAACATCGGCTTATTATTCTGATCAGGAAGTGGCAGATACGCAGTATTCGAGCTTCAGTGAAGATGTGAAGTAGAAGTGAAGATGGGAGAACGCGTTGCTGGTCATCTGCTGTAAACACGTAAGTAATTAAACAGCAGATTATATATTTTGTAATTTACGAATTATAAATAAGGGCACTTGAAAATTTGAGTTTTAGTGACTAATTGTTAAATCGTAATTAGTATGATAAAAATAATAGAATTGAATGAAATTTAATTGAATGAAATAGAATTGAAATTTAATTTCGTATTTTTTGAGATATTATTTTTCAGAAGTATTTTTTAAAATTGTGTTGTGATTGCGTCTATCAATTATCGAGTGTCCCTTATAAATTGAGTCAGCGCTAAGTTGAAAAGGTTCAGTATCCCCGTTTTCTTTACCACCCAGTATATTTCTTGAGTGATACGTAAATTCATACAGAATTTTTGGACCAGACAAGTTCCTTCGTTTTACGGGGATAGAGTTACCTACCTCTGGACGCGTTCTCCAGAACATATTTTTTCGGATTACACGGTTTTCGAGCTTTCAACGTATATCTCGTTGAATACGTTCACGTGAATCATGTGAATACCAGGTAAATTTCATTAAAGCGATTCGGGTCAGCTGATATATAGAAAAAAAAACGCGTTGGATAATTCTGCGGTCGTTCATACTTTTCCCTCTGTGATTCTGTGCGTTGACGTTTCGAATATCCGGCTAGTTTAATCGTCTCTCGTTCATTTTCATTTGTTTTTCAATGTAACAACGGGCGCGTTTCCTCCTCTTTTTTTTTCTTTGTTACCTTAATTGCCTCTTCCGTGGCAGATCGTCTGAAGCGCGTCTCGAGTGGAAAAGAAATCGATTTCCTTGGTGATGGGACGCTCTTCATCTTCGGGAAATGGCACGTTTTTAACTCTTTCATTGTGAACGACGTATATATACGTCCTCGAAAAGCAACTGTTAATTGATAGAAACGTTTGCGAATTGTTGCCAAGGGACATGACAAATCAATGTGTATATTTAGCTACAATAAATCTATGAAAATATTTAGGGACAGGGGAACCTAATTTATACCGGGAAATTAGTGTTGTGACGGGTGTTTTAATTTTTATTAATTAGTCTTCAACCGAGAATTTTCTTCAACTCTCAATGGCCAGTCTGTTCATTAGCATTATTTGAAATAATCTTCTGGCATAAATTTTTGCTAAATCGAAAGATCTATAAATAAATTTTCATTCAAAGAAGCAATTGTTTTTGATTTTAAAATATTTTCATTGATCGAAAATATATCTCAGAAGATTATTTCCATACAATATATTACACAGCTTTTATTTTCATTTGAACGATGCTTTCCGGTTAGCAGATTTAATACAAATGAGATTTCAATCATCCGGTTGGATTGTTTGTCGCTTTTCTCGATCGAAATGTAAGTGTTTATCTTTGATCGAACAGGAGGAGCGCGTTCGAGATGAATCGAAAGAGCGATGTTTCACAATTCTATCGCTCTCGTTCTTCTCGTTGCCATTCGAGCGCAATATGCATCATAAATATGCATTCGAAGATTGCTCCATCGTGAACGTAATTCTGTCGGCTTGACAGCGTGTTGCGAAAGACGAGCGCAATCTGCTTGTTTGCGTCGTTCAATGATACTTTTACGACTGTTCGTTATTCGAACGATCGTTCGATAAAACGCCTTCTACTTACAAATTGAGGACATTAATCCTTTATATATCCATGTAACTTTTAGATGAAATTTCTGTTTTATGACAATGAAAATATCAGTTCTGTATAATTGTATATCGATCGGGTTTTATTCGTGTTTTCAGTATCTTAACAACGTTATCGATATTTCATTAATTATTGTCAATACCGATGATATAATTAATGGCTATACGAGGGTGCCAATTATCCGAGTAAACGAAGAGGAAATTAATTTTAGTAAATTGCTAATATTGTAACTGTGTTTTACAGGAAATATTATTTTCATATTTTCAGGAAAAATGTGGGCTTAATTAAGCAGTCCAGTTCTACTACGTAAAAGTTATGATTTAATTAAATGTAATTATCTTTTCCTCCTTTATTTAATATTAATTGTATAAAGTAAACGTATGTAAAAGAAATTGAGTTAGAAGCAGAAGGGCTGTAAACCCTTCAAAGCATAGGTTTAAAAGAAAAATGAGTATCGGATTAAATTAAACGGATTACCTAGAATGTAAAGCTTCGGAGTTCCAAACATTGATGATAGAAGCCATAGAATTTTTCTTGGAGCAAGTGTTGATTATGTTAGCCGAGGTCTATGATCTCTAATGATCAATTGAATACTTACTTTAAAATTTTTATATGGGATTAACTATTTAATCGGACGATCTATCGAACTCTCTTACACTCTGATGTATTTTTGCAGTGATATCTACATAAAATTATTAGAGCCACAGATCTCATAGATCATCTAATTACAATAGTTTCTTTTTAAGGTATATTAAGATTAAGCTAAAAAGGAAAAAAATTATAGAAGGAAACTACAAATGAGCAAAGTCATATGTTCTGTAGATCTCATAATCTCCTTCCAAGTATAGAAGATTATAGAACATGAAATTTTAACAGACCTAGATTACATAAACCCCATACTCCTCTTTTAAGTGCAGAAATAAATTCTCTAGTCACGAGAGCCATTTTAGATATCTACAACGAAGGTCCTACATCTCATAGATCTTAAATCACAGTTTCGATTTCTGTAACAGCTGAACGCAGGTAGAATTTGTAAGACGAGGTGTGTAAAAGAGTTTGTATAATATCGATTCGTAATCCATCTCGTTGAGATAAAATAGCTAGGGGTTGCTCGATTTTCCGCGCGTGTTTCTGTGACGGGACTTTCTTGCAATTTTCATGTCATCCCTGTTCGCGGCTTCGAGCGATGGCACGAGGAAAAACATTTTCCGGGGAAATTGGAACGGAGATGGCTCGAGATTGGCGGGACGAGGGAATAGCGTGCGGTGAAAAGCTATGGTGGCTTGGATGGTGAAGAACTTCTTCCTTCTCCTCCTCCTCTTCTTCTTCTTCTTCTCTTTGACACCCAAGCCGAGTATGCAACTTTTACGTTCCCCTCTATGTTTTTATCCCTGTGCACGTGTATTTAACCATCACTTTTTGCTCGAGTGTATGCAACCCTGTTGCTCTGAAAAGAGCTACTGAATGCACGCGAGAGAGATCTTGTTGCCTGTTAGAGACTTTGATCTTCGTTAATCGCCGAGCACACCGGTCTTTCCCGAAGGTTTTAAAATGTGGTTTCTCTACGTACGTTCGCTAAACGCCCCTGGTTTCTACAGCTACCTTGCATTTTTTATCACTCTTCGCTTCCTTCCTTTTGCCACTCCTTTTGTTTCGACGATTTCGAGGGCCAGTTGCAATTTCCGATTCTTTTTGTTCGTCTTCCGTTGCGTTTAAAGAGGTGTACCACTCTGAGAAAGTTAAAAATAGAGAAAATTCGTAGCACAATCATTTTGATATTTTCTTGTGAATTTCTTAGACAATAATTAGAATTTTCAATCCGAGCGAGCATCACTTTTTATCTGATAGAATTTGGCTAATTTTCGAATAAAATATTGAAAAAGCTGGCAATTTTAATTATCAATTTCAATATCTTAATTATCATTAACTGTTCTTTAATAGTTTAAAATGGATATTATTTTTATAGTAAGAGATGCTTTCTTCATCCCTCTTTGCATTTCATTTCTTATTACCATTCGATATCGCGATCAAGTGTTTGACAAACATTTATCTTAATTAACTTCCCTGCTAGAGCTAGAACGATTCAAGTATTCCAACGTTTTCCAATAATCCCACGGGCAAGGTTTTTCGAAGAAACGACTAACGTAGCGTGCCAGGAAGCTTATTACGATTCCGTTGAATGTTAAAGTGCCGCATTGTTTTCCGCAATTAAAAGAAGGAAAAGTTGTGCCTGTTCCAGCCACTCGATACTGCCAGCCCGGAATATGGGTCAGTAAACTGTTCAGTATTTTCATTTGCATAACTGTTATACTGTGCTCGAAATTGTTAGCGTTGCTTTTAAGGAAGAAGAACGGAAAGAAACATTCAGTGTAACACTGGGAAAATTTCTCTGATCATTGCAAAACTATGCAAATTTAAATATTATTGTATTTTAGGGTAGTATTATTTATGGCCCTCTTTGCTGGTAATTTTTATATTATAACAAATTTGCGATCAAAGTTAGTTAGAAAGGAATATTACCACCCTTTCCTCTTATTAATCACTTATTATAGTACTGGTGTTTATTTCGAACAGCTTTTTGTTTTATGAGCAATTGAAGTAGGTTCCCTGTGATTTATCCATGATGGATTTGTTTTCGTGTTCGCGTGTTTATAGGCGTTGCTTTTACTCTATAGAGTTTTATAAAGTACACCGAGTTCAAAGTCCGAAGGTTTTCAGCTTTAAAGCTTTTAAATTTCAGTGTACAGAATACACAAAGGAAAGTGCTTAAACATTTTCGATAAAAAAATGAAATAAATAATTTTGACGTCACTTTGATAAAAATTAATGTACCTTTTATAGCCTAAGCTGTTAAGTCATTTCCCAAAAGTGGTTTGAATCCCTTTGAAATAATTTTTAACACGAATTCTACTTGCAATTTAATCTCGGTTTAAATATAAATGGAAGTACGATAAATTTTATAATAATTAGATTGATTTTAGGGTAATGTAAGACAATTTGAACGGAATGAAAGATTTATTCGTATCGTAGAAAATATAGTCTACAATCTAGTAATTTATCAACGAACATGAAACTCCCTTTATCCTTCGAACCGGTGTTATCCTTGGAGCCTGTGACCAATTAATAAACCCTCAATTAATGTGTAATCGGGTGTACGGTCTAGGCAACCGATTGAAAATTAATGGCCTCAACCGTTGTCACGTAAATTAATTGCTATGCAGCCGTGTGGCCAGGCAATTTTATAGTTATCTGATTATTTGCTTAGTTATCTACGGATAGTAGACTTCTTTTTTCATTAATTATTCTCTAACGTGAATATTTATTCCTGTAATTGAATCGCGCGCGAGTTGATTGGGTGTTGATTCTTCATTT